AATACACTCAGGATACATTCAGTATACGTACAGGGGGTTTCACATTCCTCATCGGATACTGCCTCGCTGTGGTGATTGACCCTGCTCAGGATGCCAACGCTGATAAGATCGACGACTGTCTGCCAGTATAGTGGTTTAACATTACATCTTCTAGAATTGTGCTGGCACGATGCGACGGATGATCTCCGACCATTTAATATTTTTCATTTTCCTGATCCAGATAAAATTTTTGTTAATTTTCTAATCGAAATTGTACGAAGAGATGTTTTGTAATCACATTCGTCTTACCGCAAACGATGTTAATCGCGGTCAAGATCTTCAAAGTTAAATGTAGCGCTGAGATGCAACGTTTCTCTCCACAAGATGCTGTTGATTCATGATTAGGGCGGAACGCAAGCGGTCTCGTGGTAATCCAATTGAAACTCTGTTTAAAATACGTCTTAAGCGTCAGAAGTCCATGCGCGTTTCGCTTTTCATGGCTGTACCTCGAGTTCGTCTACGGATACACATAAATAACATTCGAGTTATTAATGGATATTGGAAGCTGGATAGTAAGAACAGATAATCTAAGGTTTCGTCTTAGAGAATTTTGCGGGAACGATAGATCGAAGATTTATTTAACGCGTTTCTGAAAAAGGATATACCGTGCAAAAAAAAAATAAAGATGGGAAGACGGTGACTAATCGGTCATAAAATCTCATCGCCTCGCAACTCGTGATGGTCCCCGAAAGCCCGTGGAGCTTGGAAGCCCAGCGTGCCGGGATGTCGGACCGGTTGCCTGCCGTTTGGGCTACTGCAGGGAATCTTTCGTCGAAATGTAAGCCGTCTCTCGTGTGACAATCGATCAATAGCCGTCTACCCACAAGCATGCATCGTTACCGCATATATATATTTACGCGCGTTCGTCGCAGTACGCAATCTAGAAATATTTTTAAATTATGAAATAAGATATTCAAAAGTATACTGACCTTATATTACTAATTTTGTTACGTTTTCGTCCTTTTTCCGTCCCTTTTCTCTCCATCTCTCTCTCTCTCTATCCACGGTCGCGCTAATTTCCGAGACGTCATCATCGCGTAGATCTCTCATTTGATCATCCGCCAACTGAAATCAACCGACATGTGAAATTTGACGTAGGATCCCCTTCTGATATATGTCGAACACCGCACACTTTTAAGGGTTTTGAGGGGCATTCGAGGGTTGTCAATCACAGAAGGCACTCCGATTCCGTCTTCGCGGCGTACGAATGACAACTCCGCTCGGTCTACATGCTACGAGTGACGTTCACGGTGGATGCGCTCGGTCCGTTTCGTTCGCTGATTCGCCGAGTCACGGCTTGGTTGCGAAGGACAGAGCGCTCAACGCATCGGGGAGAAAGAGAGACGGATTCGGGCGACCGTGCGCGACGAAAACGGGGGAGGTAGAGAAACGAATAGGACGCGAAAGAATGCGCGGTCGGAGAACAAAAATCGAGACAAGGAGACGAGCCGCGGGAAGAAGAGAGGCGATTAGACGCGTGTCGCTCATACGTCAGACGCCGACTGGACGAGCGAGGACGCGGCTGGAATAGGCGTCTCTGCAGTTCCCGCGACGACCGTGACGCGTCCCGCGGACGACTGTCGGCGTCGCGGCGCTCCGGCGTTGCACGTCACTCGCGAGATTCGGATCTCTTCGTCTCTTCGTGCCGGGTCGTGGCCAGTCCAAGGCAGCCGCCGTCCAGGAACGTGCTACGAGCCACGAAGAGCGGCTTCCTCTGGCGGTGGTTGGCCGACGATGCCGTAAGAGTAGCGTCGGGCCGACCTCGCGACGCCGACGCCATGCGGCGCCGCTCTGCGCCCGGCCGCGTCTAGGGACGAGCCACGTCAATGTTGTGTGGGTTTTCAACCACCGCACACACGAATGCATGTACTCTTTGGATGCACGGGGGGTATATAAAGTCGGGGTGGATATAGGGGCGACCGGGAGGGGCGGCTTCTTGATAACGCGCAGGGTCGACCAACCCCTCTCACGTTGTCTCTCTCTTCCTCTCTCTCATTCTACCTTTCTCCCTCTGGCGAGCTTCTTCTCTTTGTCTCACCCGTTACCTCCGAGCAATCTCTCTTTCACCTACGCGTACTCTCTATTCGTTCATTTCTCTCTTTTTCTGTCTGACCCTCGCTCTCTTTTTCTCCTTCACCTTTATTGTTCCTGTTTCTCCGTCACTTTTTTATTTCTTTTCTCCGTCGATTGTTTCGTCTCCTTCATTCTTAATAAGGTCAATCAACCCTTCTCTGTTATCTACTCTGCTTACCTACTCTGTTCATCTGTCGTGCTTTCTCCATCCACCCTGCGCTGTCTAACTATCTTTCTCCCGCTAGCTTCTCTTTGCCCCTGTTTATCTCTATCCATTTATCCCCTTCTCTCTTTGATTACCTTCTCATGATATTTTCTCTGTTTTCCTCGACGCTTAGCTCTGCTGCGTTTACCCTTCCTTCGGAGCGAGCTCGCGTCGATTTGATTTTGCCGCATCTCTGTGTGTGATATCGTCTCGCTCCACGCTCTCCCCACCACGTGCTGACTCTTTGCGTATGACAGCAAGCGCGAGTTTTATGCAACTCCTCCGTGGGTTGGGGGAACGCGGTGTATTCTGGCGCCACCAACCGGCACCCATGTAGAAACTCCTCGCCCCTGAATCGTGACGTTTTTATTGGGCGACGCTCTGTTCTCTCCGTGAAAGACAGAAAGAGAAATGGCGCAATGGTGCTGCGATCCTCCTCCTGCGCTTTTGTCTCACCTTCCTTCTTTCCACGCTTCTCCCTCGTCCCCGTGGGCGTCTCTTCGGCTTATTCTTTGTCTACTGTGCAGGTAAGGTTACGACCTCATGAGTTTGCTGCAAAACTCCGCGGTGGCGAAAATTATTAATTCGCCGAGCAGTTTGCTCGCGCATCGTAAGTCGGGAGGAATGGGTCGCGTGCGCTATGCCGAATCTGCAGACATTTAAAGAACACTGAGTCAGATTTTTACTCACTTATAGGCGCTGTATAATAGGTTTATATAGAGTTTACGACACGTTACACAATACGTGCCGTAACGGGGAATCGTGAGTAAAGATTGCCGATAATATAAAACGGAAATAATAAATACGAGTTACAAGGCATGTTCTCTTTAAAACAAACTGTAATGTATCTTCAACTTTAACATTCTGTAATTGGAGCTTTATTATTTCAGATCAAAGCAGTTGATAGCAAATTCAATTAGACGAATGATGAAAGCGTTATGTTACATAAAACATTGAAAAAATATTTAAATAACTATTGAATTTTAACGTATGAAAATCGGAGTAGACTTCTGCGACTTCGAATATTGACCTTTATACCAATATCTTGTTAGATGCTGCCATCTGAACGACACAATCCAAAACATTCGTTTACAGATGCTCTTCAGCATCATATACACATGCACACAGAAACACATATACAGCAACGTATACTGGATTATTAGTAAACGATGCTGCAAGGAAGAATTTAGCTGGAGTTATTAAGCGTTTTTTATAGACGTTCATGCATATTTAATATATTCAAACTGCTTTTTTCCTAATTTATTAAATATGGAATAATATTTTGGTATGATAATTTTACATCTATTAAATTTCTTAGATGTTGGTGTAAAACGAAATATCAGTTATTATTCTAGCTAAATCGCAAGCGCTCATATTCCGTTTAGAACTAGATTTCTTTGCGTTTTTGAAATTAAACATTTCAAAGATAAATTTTCACTGTAAATAGTTTCATTGATTTACATTATTTGTGTCTTTACCATTTCGAGTTGATGAAGATAGTCTGAACGAGTCTTTTAACCGATTTGTTTCAGGATTTTGATTTATACAACTACACATTATATATGCAACTTATATATGCTAATACATGACAATATACTTCTATATAATACTCAATAATTTATAATTTTCAAAATAAACGAAACTACAAATGTAGTGTTAATTTTACCAACTATAAAATACGATACAAAATTTTTTAATTCTCTCTTTAGAACGAGACAATATAAATACTTACTTTAATTTTCTATCATCTCGTTAATTTCATACTTTTGATTCTGTCTGGTGTCTGCGCCATTGTGTATCGTGCGACTCAGATCCTAATATATGCAAAGGAATTCCACAGTATCTAGTTAAGCGATATCGCATAAAGAAGCGGAGCTGTAGGACGCCACCATGAAAATCCGAACTTAATCGTCCGGATCCCGTGAAAAAAGAAACGAGAGCGAGGCCACCGACAGAAAACTCGATCCTCCCTCGAGGTTTTAACGTGTAGCCAGGCTGCGCCTTCGGGATCCCGATGTAGTCATAAGCAACGTAGGTACGCTAAAATCGGTGGCAATAACTTCGCACGCATCTCTCGGTAAACCGTCGTAAAACTGGAAAGCGGACGAGAGGTGGCTCGAAGACAACAGAGCGCCTGAGTGGAATAAGAGCTGTGCCAGAATAATGGGCAATTGGGTATAGTATATCAACGAGGGTTTGATAATTATAATAATGACTGTCGGTGCGGTACATACTCGTAAGGCGAACCGGCTGAAGGATCGTTCAATGGAAAGGAGCGATTAGCCCACAAAATATACACGTTTGCTTATTATCCGTAACTTTTCTTTCAGCCGTGATACGATCGTGAAGCGAGAGGGATTATTGCGCAATTATTGCCGCAATTTCGGCCGCATTTTACACGCTTACAGATCTGGCCTCTTTTTCATGCAGCAACGGTGAAATTGACCAGTTTACTCAGACGTGGCAAATTCATATTTGCATCTATATATTATTTGCGATAATAAATAATGTACATAATTTTTTTAGAAATTCTTGACTGCAACTGAAAAAAGTTTATTTAATTGATTATTGAAGATATGAAATAAATGAATAATTAATGTACTTGCTGCAATTCATTAAAATCAATCTAATTATTCTAATTGCTTGATGAAGTGTTTTATTAATTGTACTTCATAATGATAACTTTGTAATTTAAAATAAATTTATTTATCATCTAAAAATTGACTTGTATTTAGCAGTGAGTTATTATAGAACATAAACTTTTGTTTATTTTTACAAGCACACTCACACACGCGCGCGCGCACTCGTAAATTTGTCATTTCTATTTATACAAATCTATCTGCAAAAATAATCTTCGCTTAGATATATCATTACTTATAGAACAGCATTCGATATCTCACTTTTTCGCAGTCACTCGTTTTAATTACGTCTTGATATCTCACTGCACTCACTATTTTTAATTTGAGCTCCTATAAAGACGTATGTTCCACATATTTATTTTTATAGCATTAATAATATATTAATCGAGTGAGATAGTAATTCGATGGATCTATGGATTGCAAAAACTCAACAAATTAATTATTTCTACAACGCATTTCTAAGTAGTGTAGGACCGTGGTCGAAGAGAGAAAGAGAGACAACGCACAGGGTTAGCCTGGGCAGATCCGGTATCGCTCTGGTTCGAAAGGGGCGAGCCTGCCCGAGGCAGGCTAGAAGCAGCCCAGCAGGCAGGTTCGCACAGATGTGCGGCGGCCATCATGAATGCCTGTAAAATATGTATTCTCGTGCGGCCCGGTTGGTAAGAGAACAGAAGGTGGGGAAGGGATGGCAGTGTAGCAGATGAGAAAGAGCTGGTAGGGAGAGGCGAGGTGGGGTTCAAGCGTTTGGGGCAGGGGCGAGGAAGAAAAACCGTCGGAAAAGAGACGAAGGGAGAGCGCGGAAGGGAGGCAGAACGACGAACGCATTCAGCTTCGGATGAGCAGAGGGGCAGGAGAAAGAGAGGCGCGCTGAGGGAGGGAGAGGCGAGCGAGCGAGAAAGGAGGTGGAATAAAAGAGAAAGAGAGGGAGAGAAAGGGGGACGAGCGGGCAGTGTGCATGCATCGCAGTTTCATTTCACAGCGGAATAGAGGCAAAAAAGGCGAGAAGGTATCGAGGGTGCGCTACGCGGAATAGAGATGACCGGGCGCATTATAATGTCCCTTCGTATCGCGATATGCCCGCGCGAGTCCGGCGAAGCTGCGGGCGCTTTTATTGTTGCAAACGCGCGACGCCGGTAATTCGGTACGAG